AAGATTCTCTCTTTGTCTTTAATTATAGACACTATGATTATAATATGTCTTGATGTGGGCCTCTTTCGGCTTCTCTTGTTTGGAGCTCTGTGTGCTTCCTGAACTTGGATGTCTGTTTCCTTCCTCAGGAAAATTTTCCTCTAATATTTTGACAAATAAATTTTCTGCCCCTTTGTCTCTCTCTTCTCCTTCTGGGACCCCTATAATCCGAATGTTAGGACACTTGATATTGTCCCAGAGTTCCCTTACACTGTTCCCATTCTGTCTAATTCGTTTTTCTCTTTTCTGTTCTGCTTGGGTGATTTCCTCTAGTCTTTCGTCTAGCTCACTGATCCGTTCTTCTGCTTCCTCTACTCTGCTATTGAGTCCCTCTAATGAATTTCTCATTTCCAGTATTGTATTCTTCATTTCTGATTGTGTTTTATTTAATATCTTCCAGTTATTTGCTGATGTGCTCACTGTGTTCATCCATTCTTCTCCGTGTATCTGTGAGCATCCTCATTATATTTTGTTTGAATTCTTTGTCGAGTAGGTCGCTAGTTTCTGTTTCACTTAGTTCTTTTTCTGGGGTTTTGTAGTGTTCCCTTGCTTGGAAAGTATTCCTTTGCCTCCTCATTATGCCTCTTTCTCTGTGCTATTTTCTTTGTACTAAGTGAGTCGGCTATGTCTCCTGATCTTGGAGAGGTAGCCTTATGTATGAGATGCCTTATGAGGCCCAGCAGTGTGCTTCCCTCTCATCACCAGTCCAAACGATCCAGGAGTGACCCCTTTGTGGGCTACTTGTGTTCTTCTGCTATGGCAGGGTTGCTCCCACTGCAGGTACCCAGGGAGTCTGATCTTTCCTTCCCTGGCCAGCTGTTTGTAAATCCGGTTTGGGGGGGCCTCAGCACTGTTGGCTACAAAGTCTATCAGCACGCTCTTATTGCAATTGTCCTCTTAATTGGGTTGGTACCCAGTGTAGCTGGTTGCTAGGCTCAGGGGCTTACAATTGTGATAGGCCTGAGGCCAACAAGGCTGATGTCAGTTCTCTTAGGAGTGCAGCTAAGTGGGGCTAGCCCTTGGCATGGGGGCACTCAGTTGTTTCAGGCTTTGGAAGGTGGGGCTGATCCTTTTTATGGCTATTTGTGAAGCACAAGTCTTCTGCCGCTGATTAGCCTCACCCCCCACAGGACCACATACGCTGTCAACACAGTCCTGGTCCGTGCACACTTCTCAACCCCCTGGAGCATACCCCAACGCCACTCTGCAGAGGCCCTCACCTCTCCCCTAATGCCCCCCACAGCTCACCTGGTCCTCACACAGGCCCTGCCCCACAGAGGCGACACCCTTGCCTGCCTGTAGAGGATCAAGGCACTCAGTCAGTGCAGTCTGACAAGTGGCCTGAGGGCTTGCTGTTAGGTGGGGCCAGTCCCTAGGGCGGGTTGCCTGCCCTGGCTGAACTGGATTAAATCTGTGCTCTAGTGGGTGTGGCAGACCCCTGGGCTAACAGCCCAAGGGATGCACCTCAATGGCCCCCACCAGTATCCATAGCAGCATGCCTGGACCAGCTCAGAACAATGGCCCCCACCAATGTCTCAGTCACCGGAGAGGACCCTCCTCTCACCAAGATGCCCCCTGAGCCCATCAGATGAGTCTCATTTCACCAAAGGATAGTCAGCCTTCTCTCTGGTGATTTTAGGTCGCTGCAATGAGTGAGTTTGTGTGTAGACCCTTTAAGACCTGGATCTTTTCGGCTTTCAGTTGATAGCTTTTCTGGGGGTGTCCTTGCTGCAGTTAATAGCCAGCAAAGCCAGACAGTAAGACCCCCATCTCAGTTGGGCTGAGTCCGAAGGATGGTTATAGCAATATTACCGCTGCTCTGGACCTCACTCCTCCAGGGAGGGCTCGTACCTTGGAGTGGCTCCTGCCTGGTCAGCTGAGAAGCTCCACTGCTCCCAAAGGTGGCTTTTTTCCTCTCCGGCCAGAGTTACTGCCTCTTCTGCCTTCGTCAGGACTGTCCCTTGTCATGGGGGTTCTTTTTATCCAGTTTTCAGTTTTCAATCCAGGGTGATTCTTCCCAAAATTGTTGTAACCTGGTTGTGTTTGTGGGAGGAGGCGAGTTCAACATCTGCTCACAGCGCCATCTTGACGAGATCTCCCCAGATATTTATTAAAATACATCTACTTACTAACTCCCTAATACCCTCATAATCAAAGCCTTTCATAGGATGCACTGGGTCTGCAGTCAGTAATCGCACTCATTCCTCCAGTTATGTTCATTGTGTAACTACAGTTACGACTCTTCCCCCAGTCATATATACGTAATAATGTAGTGCTGTGGAATCAGTTTTAACTCTTTCCGCATTCATCATTGTGAGGAACAGTCTCCTCATTCATTGGTGTCTAGCCCATGTGTTTCACTCAGCAAAAGCCATAACAGCACTGTGTGTGGCTTTCCGTCAGTGTGGCTGAGCCTGCCTCTGGTGTGCATGGGGCTCCCTCTCTTCCCTGAGTGTCACGCTGTCCTGTCTGTGAAATGGAGGTAGGAAAAGTGCCTTATTTCCAGCACTGTGGTGTGAGTTAAACGGGTGAATACATGTAAGTCATTTAGAGTAGTGCTTTATAGCACACTGGTTATATACGGTTGAGTACTCACTTCTAAGTTATCTTGTCAGAATTGGTTGCTTCTTTTAAGTCTTAAACAACTAAATTATAATTGACCAAAACCAAGGTTAAGTTTCACACTTCTGTGCAGGTAGAAAAGTAGAGAAGACAGCACAGGGTTGGTGCCCCACAGGTGGGGTAAGATCACCTTTCAGCTGGAGAGATCTGTGGGATCTGTGTCTAGTAGGCTTAGTGTGCTAATGATAAAGAGCTGATAAAGAGTTTCGTGAACATGCACCTGAATTCACAGATAGGAGATTTCTATTCGAAAAGTAGTGAAATAGATTTGTAGATCTTTGAACTGAAGGAATCTCAAGATGCCGCTAAACTAGCTTTACGGCTTTGTGGAAAGCCTTTAAAATCCAGGACCTACGTTCCTCCTACAGAAACGAAAAGGTTTTCTCTAAGTTTTTTTCTAGCATTATCCAATGCTTTGCCTTAAGTTATGTGAATTATCCACATTTTAAAATTAAGCAGCTGAAGTCCTGAGAGGTGGAGGAACAGGTCAGGAGTTACTGGTTAGGGGTTGGTGGGTGAGAGGATAGGTTTTAGACAAGGGCTAGAAACCAGCTGATCTGCTGTGCAGTCTGGCACCTCCACCACACCGTACTGCCTCTGGTCCTGCTCTGCACCAGCTCCTGCAGCCCATGGTAACCTCTGTGTGCGCTGTTCTCACATCTACCATGTCAGAATTTGATGTCTGTTGAAGAATATAGTCAGAGATTTTATACATAGAGATATATACATATATCTCTCTATATAAAATCTATAGTTCTCTTTATAGTGGTCACTTCTTTTTTTCTTTATAAAGGAGATTATGGTACACTTTTTTTTTTTTGAGGAAGGTTAACCCTGAGCTAACATCTGCCACCAATTCGCTTCTTTTTGCTGAGGAAAATTGGCCCTGAGCTAACATCCATGCCCGTCTTCCTCTGCTCTATATGTGGAACGCCTGCCACACCATGGCTTGACAAGCAGTACATAGGTCCACGCCCAGGATCCGAACCGGAGTGCACTAACTTAACCGCTACACCACCAGGCCGGCCACTGTGGTATACATTTTTTGATCATGTATTTTTGAGTACACACTTTTAAACCTTACATAGTGGAAACAGATGGGATGAGATTTTTTATTTCCCCTGGAAACCTGCAGAGCGGATGTTTTGAGTCCTTTTTTTACCAGGTGGGCATCTCAGTATGGTGTTGGCAGGAGCACCTGTGTTCTGTAGGTGGATATTCACCCAGTTTCCAAGCCTAAGGATCTTAAATCTTCAGTCAAAGGAGATTTAAAGGATTTAAATCTTAAGAATAGTGCACTTCCTAATTTAATCAGATGTACAAATTAAGGACAGTCTAGGCAGGCAGATAGTTGATAAAGGAATAAGAATAAATAGTCCTTCTACCTATTTGGATAGACATGTTTAGAAAAATGGGATTCAGGTAATAATATTTTCTAGTTACACATTTTAATTTTTTTAAATTAAGAATAAATAATAAACTTTTGCTAATCTATTCTTTTGCTTTAGGACAATTTGTGAAAGTTTAAGTAAGTCAATAGGCGAAATTCTGCTTCATACTTTAGGAGAATATAAGGACTTCAAAAGAGAAGTCATTTGGAGAATTTTTATGAGGATGACTAACTGCCTTGCACTGTGCCAGGTTCTGTGGATTCTAAAGATGAAAGTTCACAGGTCATTCAGTCTAGTGAAAGAGACATTTAGACCAAAAATTACATTACAGTGCAGCAAAGTCTACAGCGAAGAATTCACAGGTTGCCATAGGAGTATAGGAGTGATAATAATTAAAGATATAGTCCGGTTGGTGGGGGTATGGGAGAAATGCTAAAAGTCGTCCTTTTATGTTCTGGGACTTTTTTCTTACGATTCCTTGAAATGTGGATGAAGCCATAAGGCTCTGGTACTCAGCCGTTTAAGCGTTTTCTTGGATTACTGTGTGTTTCCAGGATGCTTTCTCTTTAGCTCTCCCGTCTTGAGGTTCTCTCTGCTAGAGGGCCGGCTGCTGAGCCGAGCTGCGGGATGAGCTCCTGCCTCTCCGCGTCCTAGTGTGCGACCACAGGCAGGTCGCCTCTCTGTGCTCCGGTCTTGTAAAAGGACAAGAGTCGTGGTCCCTGCCTGCCAGGGCTGTTGTGATGATTGAATGCCACAGTACCTGGAGACATTTTTGGAATACTCTGCCTGGACACGGAAAGGCTCAAGGGAATTTTAGTTCTCATTGTCATTGGTTTTGTTAGCTACTAAACCAGAAACATTGAAACACAGTCATCATGTTGATCATTCCGCTTCTCTTTCCATAATGCTAACGTCCAAGTAAAATTTTCCGTTTCTTTTCCTTTCTAGCTCCAAGAGGACGGCGAGGGTGGAAAACCTTTTATGCTGTGCTGAAGGGGACAGTTCTTTACTTGCAAAAGGTAAAAGCAAATGAAAAATGGAAGCCCGCCAAACGTAATGAAATGTTAGACAACTTACCCCAAAAATGCTCACTTTGTACACAAATATTCACTTTGTACAAACACCCAAAAGACTGTTTCCTTGATGTCTAAATTATTTTTTAGATTTTTTTTGTTTCTGGTGAAAAAATTATTTTGGAAATTATATGTAACGTAGTATTTTATACATATATAAAGGTTTTTTATCTATATGTATGTATGTATGATCAGAGGGAATGGATTAGCTTTGTTGTAATTATGTTCAATTAGAAATTTTGAGGGGCCAGCCCCGTGGCCGAGTGGTTAAATCTGGCGCCCCGCTGTGGCGGCCAGGGTTTCGCCAGTTCGGATCCTGGGTGTGGACATGGCACCGCTCATCAGGCCACGCTGAGGAGGCATCCTACATAGCACAGCCAGAGGCACTCACAACTAGGGTATACAACTATGCACTGAAGGGCTTTGGGGATGAGGAAGAGAAGAAGAAGAAGAAAAAAAATAAAGATTGGCAACAGATGTTAGCTGAGGTGCCAATCTTTAAAAAAAAAAATTTTTGAGAATAAGTTGATAAGTTAGACTTCATATGGTCTGTGCAGGTACAGACCTATGGCAGCACTTGCTTCAATGGATATTTATACTGTATATTGTTTATTTCTTCATTTATTTATTGTTATTTAACAATATATCTTCATTTATTTGTCTTCATTTAGATCCTGCCGAAACCTAGAAACACATTTTCATTCAAGTCCTAAAGTATCGGTATTTAACAATGAAAATGTATTCCAAATTACCTGAGTAAGGGTTTGTCAAGAACATTCCCTGTCAGGATCCTTTCTTCCAATCGCAGAATCTGGAAATCTGTCTGGGATCAGGTTTGCATGTTCTGGCCTGTGAAGGGTAGTCCCTGGAGCTTCACCACCCTAGCTCTGTGTAGGTGGAGATGGGAGTGTTGTGTGTCGACTGGAATGAGGTGCACCACTTCCCGGGCCCGGCAGGATTCTGCCTCCCGCTGTGAAGGCAGCTGGGGCAGCTAGGGCTGACTGGAGGCCAGGCAGGAACAACACTGCCCTCAGAGGTGACTGATGGGAAAAGGGTGTTTTTGTGATAAAAACCATGTAACATGAGATCTACCCTCAATACATTTTTAAGTGCCTAGTACAGTATTGTTAATTATAAGTGCAGTGTTGTGCAGGAGATCTCTGGAAATTTCCCATCTTGCATGACAGGTAATATCCAGTGAGCGGTTATTCTCCCACTCCCCTCTCCCAGCCCCAGGCAGCCACTTTCTGTTTCTGTGAGTTTGACTATTTCAAATACTCATATAAGTAGAATCAAGCAGAATTTGTCCTTCTGTGACTGGCTGACTTCACTTACCATAATGTCCTCAAGGTCCATCCATGTTGTAGTATATGAAAAGATTTCCTTTTTTATAGCTGAATAATAGTTCATTGTTTACTTCCTTTTCTTTATCTGTTCATCTGTCATGAACTTTGTGTTGTTTCCACTTCTTGGATATTGTGAATAATGCTACAGTGAACACAGGAGTGCAGAGATCTCTAGAAGTGGAATTCCTGGATCTGCTTTTAATTATTTGAAGAACCTCTGTATTGTTTTCCACGGTGGCTGAAACATTTTCAGTTCCCACCATCCATGCACAGCAACTCCACATTCTCCACATGCACGTTAACACTTGTTATTTCCTATTTTTGTTTTTCTTTTCTTAATTTGTTATAGTGGCCATCCTAACAGATATGAGATGATAACCTCATTGTGGTTTTGGTTTGTTTTCCTGACGATTAGTGATGTTGAGCATCTTTTCATATACTTGTTGGCCATATGTGTGTTGTCTTTGAAGAAATGTCTATTCACATCCTTTGTCCATGTTTTAATCAGGTTGTGTTTTGCTATTTAGTTGTAGGAATTCCTTGCCTATTTTGGATATGGATCCCTTATCATATATATGGTTTTCAGATATTTTCTCCCATTCCATAGATAGCCTTTTCACTCTCTTGATTGTTTGCTTTGCTGTGCAATCAAGTGTAAACAATTTTACACAGTTTGCTGTGTAAACGATTTTAGTTTTATGTAGTCCCACTTGTCTGTCTTTACTTTTGTTGCCTGTGCTTTTGGTGTTGTATTCAAGAAATTATTGCCAATCTCAAGATGCTTTTCCCCTATATTATCTTCTATGAGTTTTATAGTTTCAAGTCTTACATTTAAACTTTTAATTCATTTTTAGTTGACTTTTGTGTATGGTGTAAGGTAAGGATAGAATTTCATTCTTTTTTTGCATGTAGATACCCAGCTTTCCTAGACTATTTATTGAAGAGATTGTCTTTTCCCCATGTGTACTGTTGGCACCCTGTGAAAGATCAGTTGACCATATATGCATGAGATGTTTTCTGGGCTTTCTATTCTGTTACATTGGTCTCTATGTCTGTTTTTATGCCAATACCATAATGTTTTGCTTACTGTAACATGTTTTGAAATCAGGAAGTGTGAAGCCTCTAAATTCGTTCTTCTTTCTCAAGGTTGTTTTGGGTGTTCAGGATCCTTTGTAGTTTCGTATGAATTTTAGGGTGAATTTTTCTATTTCTGTAAAAAATGCCATTGGGATTTTGATAGGGCTTGCATTGACTCTGTAGATGGCTTTGGGTACTATGGACATGTTAAGAATATTAATTCTTCCAATCCATGAACGTAGGATGTCTTTCCATTTATTTGTCGTCTTTAATTTCTCTCAGCAATGTTTTGTATTTTTCCTTGTATGAATTTTTCGTGTCCTTCATTAAGTTTATTCCTAAGTATTTTATTGTTTTGATACTATTGTAATTGGAATTTTCTTAATTTCCTTTTCAGATTGTTCATTGATAGTGTATGTAAATGCAATTGATTTTTGCCTGTTGATTTTGTATCCTACAACTTCGCTAAATTTGTGTCTTAGTTCTAATGATTCTTTTGTAGAATCTTTAGTTTTCTGTATATAAGGTCATGGCCTCTGTGAACAGAGATAATTTTACTTTTTCCTTTCCAATTTGGATGCCCTTTATTTCTTTTTCTTGCCTATTGTTCTGATTAGGACTTTAGTACTACGTTGAACAGAAGTGGCAAGAGTGGGCATCTTTGTCTTGTTTCTTTCCTTAGAGGAAAAACCTTCAGTTTGTCACCATTGAGTATGATGTTAGCTGTGGACTTTTCATATATGGCCTTTATTATAGTAAGGTAATTTCCATTTATTCCTAGTTTGTTGAATGTTTTTTGTCATGAAAGGGTATTGAATTTTTATTAAATACTTTTTCTGTATCTATTAAGATGATCATGTGATTTGTGACATTTGTCCTGTTAATGTGGTTTATCACATTAGTTCATTTTCATGTGTTGAACCATTCTTTCATCCCAGGGATAAGCTTGGTCGTGGTGTGTGCTGCATTTAATATGATGTGGGATTTGGTTTGCTGGTGTTTTGTTAAGGATTTTTGCCTCTATATTCATCAGGGATATAGGCCTATAGTTTTCTTTTCTTGCCGTGTCTTTTTCTGGCTTTGGTATCAGGGTAATGCTGTCCTCAAAAAACGAGTTTAGAAGTATTCCCTCCTCTTCAGTTTTTTGGAAGGATTTGAGAATAATTGACATTAAATTCTTCTTTGAAACTTTGGTAGACTTTACTGGTGAAGCATGTGGTCCTGGACTTTTCTTTGTTGGAGGTTTCTGATTACTGATTCAATCTCCATACTAGTTATAGGTCTGTTCTGATTTCCTGTTTATTCATGATTCAGTCTTGGCAGATTGTATTTTTTAGGAATTTATCCATTTTTTCTAGGTTGTCCAATTTGTTGGTGTACAGTTTCTTATAATCCTTTTAATTTCTGTGGCATCAGTTATAATGTCTCTTCTTTCATTTCTGATTTTATTTATTTTTTTTACTTAGTAGTCTAGCTAAAGATTTGTCAATTTCATCAGTCTTTTCAAAAAACCAATTCTTAGTTTCATTTATTTTTTTCCTATTGTTTTTCTGACCTCTATTTCATCTACTTCTGCTCTGATCTTGATGTTTCCTTCCTTCTACTAACTTTGGGCTTAGCTTGCTCTTTTTCTATTTCCTTGAGGTGTAAAGTTGGATTATTTATTTGATTTTTTTTTATTATAGGTGTTTATCTCTATAAACTTCCCACCTAGTACTGCTTTTGCTGTAGCTCATAAGTTTTTGGTATGTTGTGTTTTTGTTTACCTTTGTCTCAAGATATTTTCTCATTTCTCTTTTGATTTCTTCTTTGACTCATTGATTATTTGACAGTGTGTTGTTTAATTTCCACATATTCATAAGTTTGCATTTTTCCTACTGCCATTAATTTCTAGTTTCATCCCATTGTGGCTGAAAAATAATATACTTAGTGTGATTTCAATCACCTTAAATTTTTTAATACTTGTTTTATAACCTAACATGTGATTTATCCTGGAGAATGTTCTTTGTGCACTTGAGAAGAAGATGTATTCTGCTACAGTTGGATGGAGTGTTCTCTATATGTCTGTTAGGTCCATTTTATTTACAGTGTTTTTCAAGTCATCTGTTATTTTTTGATATTCTGTTTGGATGTTCTATCCGTTATGGAGAGTAGGGTATTGAAATCCTCTATTATTATTGTATTGCTGTCAATTTCAGTTCTATCTGTATTTGCTTCATATATTTAAGGGTTCTGATGTTGGGTGCGTATGTATTTATAATTGTGACTCTTCCTGGTGAATTGACCCTTTTGTCATTATATAATATCCTTCTTTGTCTCTTTTTACAATTTTTGACTTAAAGTCCATTTTATCTGTAATAAGCATGGCTCTCTTTTGTTTACTTTTTGCATGGAATATCTTTTTCCACTCCTTTACTTTTATCATATATGTATGAACTATAAAGTGAAGCTCTTGTAGACAGTATATAGTCAGATTGTTTTTAATCCATTCAGACACTCTGTATTTTGATTGGGGAGTTTAAT